CTTCATTGCTTATTTGGAAGACAAAGATAGAAGTTGACGATTTTAGTGTTTGTGACGATTCCACAAACTCAAATTTTAAAGGGTATCACATATTAGAATTCAATCATTTTTTTCTATTAAGTGGTTGACTGTGTAATAGTTTTATCTGATTAATATATTTATATCATCTTTAAAAAACATGGTGGTTAAACAACGGCAATATATATATATATATATATATATATATATATATATATATATATATATATATATATATATTAAGATGATGGATTTATTGTAAAAAAAGATATTGATGTAAACAATAAAGGAAGAGCAAAGGAAAAAAAAGATGGGGTTGTAAAATGTCAATACCTCAAAGGAAAAAGATGGGGTTCTAAAATGTCAATTTCTTATTTTTGGTATAATAGCTTTATGAAGAAATGGCGAACTAAACGGAATTAAAATCTCCACATACCTAAACAAGGATATACTTGTAATTGGACTTGTATTTCAGTGGCTTAATGAAATTCTTCCTTGGAAGAATCAGCGCCCTTTTGTTATATGTTTTGGTTTTGCATATAGATTATTTTCAAACTGAGCATATATGAATTTTTGTTCATCAAATGAACTTGTTCAGGTGTTCATCACCTGTGAAATTTTAATGGAGTAGGTTCAAAATACGACACGATCTCTTGAGTATGTGGTTATTATAAAGAGATCAAAAATGAAATCAAGTGGATGTACATCAAAAATCATTTTAGTTTGTGAACGAAACTCTTCTTAGTTTACTTATAAATACATCATGTATTCCATTTATTAATACAAAAAGTATGAAATAGAGGAAAGAGAGAGTAAAGGTCAGGACTAGGATCGAAAATGTGAGGGTTTAGGGTGGTTTGAAGTTGAGAATGGAGAAGAATTCTTATTGCAAATGGAATCATGGATGATGGAAGACAAGTGAATTGGGTATTCCAAGAACATTAGAATCACTCACCCAACAATTTTGTGAAATTGAAATAAACAAAATGTGTCTAAATCTCAATTTTGTTACAACATTACTTACACCGAGAGTGGCCTATTCCCAGCTTGCTATCATATCCTATACCTACTAGTTCTATATACAACAAATTTTATGGCCAGTTTTCTTGTCAAAAACTCTAATATAACCAATTTCTCCCTAATGATACAAAGTGAATAATCAAATATGGATGTTATGTTAGTATAAGGTTAGTAGATATATATACATGGTTAATGACTACATAATCTACATTGTTATTAATCTCTAGGGTCATTGTCATTCTTGTCAACATATTTTCTTCATCAAGTCTTCTTCACCTCGAAACAGCATCATGCCATGTGTCTTTGTATTTACAGCAGAGAGCTGTTTGCAGGAACTGTGGGTGTATGTATATGTGTATGTGCATGGACAACCATACCCTTTTCAGGTTCCTTTGGTCAACAAACACCCTTTGACTTTCTTTCTGGGTGTGTGGGTAGTGAGTATCATCAACATGCTTTGCATATTCTTGTAATTTTATATTTATTTTTTTGTTAAGTTAATACCCTTTGCCCTCTCCATTTCAACCTCTTTCTGAGCTTTCTTCTTTTCTAGTTCAGCCTGTTTATAGTTTTCTTCATGAGCTTTTCTAAACAGCCTCACAAAGTTCAAAAGGGTCTGTGTAACTGCACAAACATAGCCATAAATAAACCATCATTCTTCTCTTATACTTTCAAACATATGCAATTCAACAATTATTATTATTATTATTGCTTATAAAAAGAACATGCCACTTAAATATGTTACCTTGTTCAAAAGGGCAACGAGCAGGATCTTCACCAAAATATAATGCCAATGCATCAGCATTTCTACCCTGCAACACAACCATTATAAAATAATACAAAATATTTAAAAAAAAATAATTAAAAGGGTTGTTCTTGATTCTTACCACCACAGAATACAAATTCGTTACGGACCCCACTTCTGACTCAGCAATGCTGATAAACTGATTGAGAGTCTAACAATGCAAGAAAAAGAAATA